TTCTCATCACATCATGTTTCTAATCAATAAGACAATTTGCAATTTTATTTTGACTAAAAAGTAAGAATTTAGTCATAAATTTTAAAATTATCAGAAGGCCTCTTCAAAATTATGGGATCATGATATATTTAGAGACGACTTATATTTGGGTAAATACCATATTTAATTTATACTGCATTTAAACTTGTTGGTAGTAGAATGAAGGCATTTATATGTGTCTAACTGTATCAATGGAATATACAATTGTAAAAATTCATGTTATTACACATTATACGAGATAACAATTTTTTCCCAGGGCCCAAACAACTCTGTATCACTGACGAATTCAATGGGGGAGGAGCGAAGATCATGGGGGCCATTGTCATCCAAAAAGTCCTAGAGTTTTTGTTTGTTATCTTCCTTTATTAGTCAACACTGATTTAAATATTTATTTATGTAAGAATTATGTAATTATTTTTAAAAAATGCTGTACAGTATCATATATACCACAAAAATAATATACAATATAATAGCAAATATGTTTATTATTTAACAAAAATTTATGATCCCCCCACTTCCCAAAAGATTGGCTGAATCCGCCCCTTATCTGTATCATTGTCTGCATTTTCTCTAAGCAACTCTGTACATAGGCGAAGGATCTTATCTAACTTAAAAGACCAGTTCTAGTTCTTGTGAGTTCATGTTAAGATTATATTTCAAAGACATTTTATTCGAACATGGTGCCAGAAGAAAAAAAACATTGGTCAATATAAAACCTTTTGATTTACAGAGATCAAGTGACCACAATAAAATGCTTCATAGAACTTAAATGGAATCAAAAATGGTCAATAGTTACAATGATGTCAAAACAGCATTCTGCTCTTGCCAATAATGATTACAAATTACATTATATTAATAATAAATATTAACACAAAAATAAAAGACTAAAAATAAAGTGTTTGTAAACTGTCCCACTACGTAAATTAAACTTCCCTGATGAAATTGCAATACGTAATGCTAATACATACAATTCAGTCACAAAGATAAAACTACTACATGAAGATCTAGGAAATTGGAGCAAGTAAATATCCTTTCAATGTATCCTAATATAAATCTCTTATAAGTAGTATTTTTATTTATTTATATTAAGGCAAATTAAAAACTATGATTTAATTAATATAAGTAATTGATTTGTGGTTAATATACATGTTTTCTTAACCATCATTTGCACTCAACTAGTGCATTTAGTTTACACTGACTTTCACTGAATTCAAAACTGTAACAGATGGTTTCCACGGAAATATGGAGTTTTACAAGTTTCAATCAGTTTTAAATAAAGTGACCTAAATTGCAACATATTCTTTATTTTCATTTTCTCCTTTTCATTACTGAGACACAGGCTGAGAGAAACAAAGCAATGAAGCTATTAGAAATAAATTAAAAGTAAAAAATGCAATAAAAGCCAAGATGGGATAACAAAGGGTGAGAGAGCAAATAAGTTAGACTGGCATACATAGAAATACCCAAGGGCAAGATTGCACAGAAAAAATCTACACTACAGACCAGAAAAAAGAAGAAGAATAGAAAGACTCAGAAAGAAGTGGGAAAAGCAGGGGCACTGACAAGTCTAAAACAGCCTTCAACCATTTTAACTGAAGGGCCATTTTATTTTTGGTGAAACCAGCATGCTCCATTGATTTGTTAATAACAGAATTAAATGACACTTACATAACACAAATATATCATGATCATCCATAAATTAAGTATGTTCACATATTTGCAAAATTTTGAATAACTTCTTCCCCCTTCCTGTACCGCACCTGCAATGTGCATTTGAACTCCCTCTTCCCCAAATAATGAGCACTCATGACGCCCCACTACCATTTACAAAAAAATAAACTATACAATAATACAAAATTTTAACGTGATATATATTAAAATTTATTATAATATAAGTCTGAATTAATTGGTGATTCTAACTGCACCTAACACTAAGATTGGAGAACAATTTTCACATGAAGGATGCAGGGACAAGAGTCAATCAATTACCATACCATTGCAATCAGAAATCAATCAACAACAATCAATTACCCTACCACTGATGAAAATATATTTTCAATTATTGTTAAGATTTATACATCATAACATTTTAATTTATATTTATTTTTAATTTAATTTGTTAACATTTAATGTTTTAGTGTAAGACTGAATAAAATCAAAATATTTCAACAAATATTGAAAAATAAAACTACAATAGCAGCATAACAAAACACTAAACTAACTACCCCTCCGTATCACAGAATAACACTTCATCAACCCCCTTCTCTCTCTTTAACATAACGTAATTTATGAACCCCTAAATGTAGTAAAATAACTGTATGGATTACTTAATAAGGTCTATATGTGTAGTTATTATATTTTGTCTTGTTAATGCTCATAGCAATGTATTGTTCTTGAATTTAATGTTAAACCTAATGATGTTACTTTGTCACTAAATAGTCATTATTGGCCAACCCTAAGAATAAATAAAAAAAGAGTCAAAGAACACTATTTTTAGCTAAAAGTAGAATTTGCTTCCAGGGCACAAATACCAAAGCACTTTGAGTTCAATTTACTTAAGCTAATTTACTTCTATCTTTATTACATTTCTACAAAATAATTATTCTGTTTCATAAAAAACAAATTTTGAAAGTAAATTTTTGTTGTTGGGTTTTTACGCTCCATTAAAATCATATTTCTTCATCATAATCATCATCAACATTAGTAGGGTTTCAATACCATGACCTGTTCCTTGCTTCCAGTAGTCCCTACACTAGTTAAGTGCTCCTAGTTCTCCCACAGTTTCCTCGGTATGCTGGGGTGTATTTCCTCTTGTCTGTATTTCATTACCATTTTTGGAAGTCAACTTGATTGCATTCTTTTTATAAGTTCTTGTCATTTTGCTTGATATTTCTCTATTTCAGTGACCAGATTCTTTATTTTTGGTGTTTTCCGTAAAACTTTGTTTCTAATTTTGTCTTTTCATACTTCTTGTAGTACTGCCGTTGAATATATCTCTTTGGAATCATATTTTAATGAATTTGAATACCCTTATAAATAATTAATATGCAATACACTGCAATATGTAATACAAGCATATATCACAAATAGATACTACCAAGGATAAAAAGTGCTGTCATTGTAATAATTTCTTAAGGAACTGTACCCACCCAAATTAAATATTCCTATTTGGTATTCTTCGGATATAGATAATCCCATTTAATGTTATTGTAATTGTTCAATTGATATAATTATTTCAATTTTCCACTTTTATTAGGAACAATCAAGTTAGAAGAAACTATTCGATCAATTATATCCATTTATTTAACAATGTTTTGAAGAGGATATTCGTTATCATCAGACTTTTAAAGAATATTTTAATCCAAGTTAAATAAGATGATTGAGATGTATGCTCTCTCCTTCCTAGTGGCAGATTTACCATTCAGCTAAATTAGCTACAGCTTGTGGCAAGAGATTGAGGGGTTTCAAAAATTATTAAACAAAATGGCAAATTTGCTTAACATTTTTACAAAAATATGCAATATTTTTAGTTTTAGTATTTAGTAAGTATTATTTTAGATAGTTGTTATGAATTTTTAAATTACAATTTTGAATATGATTATTATTTGAAGACATGTTTTAATTGTTAAATTAATTTTGAATAAAAAGGTTAAAATTTGCAATATCAAAAAAGTTATTGTTGACATTAAAAAGGGGAATCTCAAACTTGTTTTAGCTTGGGACTTCTAAAATGGTAAATCCACCACTGCTCCTCACACAGGGTAAAACATGGTTTCTACAGCTTCAAGAAGATTGCAAGATTGAAGTCTCCATCTGTCACATGACAAAGAGTTCTTTGAAGCCTGATGATGAACAACGTCTTTGAAATGTTGTTTTTATAAATTGATAAAATTGAATGAATAACTTCTTACTTAATTGCCTCTAATTAAAAAGAAAATCGAAATTATTAGCCCCTGCGGGACAGGATCCACCTATTATTTCGTAAATAAAATTTTATTTGAATATAAAATTATTTCAATATTATTTTTTAAATTAAGCGTTATAGTGAATTTTTATGTTTATATTGATTTCATAGCTGTGATGTCTCCTTACTAAGGAGACTCTCATAGGTTCTTTATACTTAGGGTCCCTCAAGACAAGAGTACACCTCTGAACAATGCTGTTCCAGCATTACAAGAATGAGATCATCATACACAGTTTTTAACTGTTTTGATGTAAAATACAAAAAATAAAATAGATATTGTATCATTGAACAAGGCAGCTACATTTGAAATCATACCGAGATAAAAGTTAAACATCATAAGAACGAACAACAGGAGTCACGGTCAACATAATAATGTTTCAATGAAATTAGTACAAGTTAATCCTGTTATACCCCCATTACATCTATTTTTATTGTTAAAATATTCACTTAACACATCCACTTAACTTTGACTGCTGATCAATATTTTCATAATATCCACAAAAATTATATAGGCCTTAAAATTCTATTTCTATAAAGAATGTCAATAATTTTTCACTTCTTACATTAAAATTAATGATACATATTATGTAATTAGCTTTTATCATTGAAAAAATATCAAAGAATTTTCAAAATTAGTGTAGACTTTGGTTCTTGGGAACACATGTCGGTTGCATATATTGGTATTGACAGACAGTATCACAAGTTTTCTTTATTCCAATGACAAGTTATCATAGAGCTATTCTTGAATCCAAGAATAGCTAAATAAATAATTCAAGTTTTATGAATTATCAGAGTCAAAAAAACAATTATAGTATTTGAATAAAAAGTTAAATATTATGCATATTTTTTGGCAATTCGCTCTCGTCATGTTTCTACAAATCAGTAATATTCACAGATAGTTTAGTTACACAAAAGCTTTATTATTGTTCGTCGGCAAGAGAAAATATCTGCGAACTGCCGATGAGAAGTAATACAGATACAATGCAAATTCACTTACCACAATCAGGATACACGTAAAACATCGTAGATCACTTTCCACTGGATGGAATGTCACTCTTTTAACACATACATTCACACGTAATCATCGAAACACTATAATAATAAAGTAACCGCAATGAAAACAACTGATCGTCCAGATGTGTGGACAAAACAAGCATGAAACTTTGTCACAGTAACTTGACAAATTAGGGGAACCTAATTATCAAAACCAGAAATAAGATGGACTGGCGAATTTAAACAAGTCTCAAAAAAGTGCGCAACAAGCGAAGGAAATTGAAAAGAGAAGCAAATATTCAGTTTTTACGAGGGTGAAGTTTAGAACACGGCACAACTTACGGATGTCGTTTAAACTAGCACTTCGCGGCCGGTCCGGCGGGGGGGGGGAGTCCCAATGGGGGAGGAGGGGTAATTGTAGGTTCTTGAGAGGAATCTTTCGATGGGGAGGGGCACTGTACGTAACTCAGTAAATACTTAAGCAAAGTGTGGGCAGTTTCGCCGGAGAGGCAGCCGTGCGCGCGCGGTACAATTTTGTAAAACGGTTTGCATTTGAAATCGTTTTGTTTGTCTTCAAGTTTAGGAAGATCCAAGAAGGACACTGGTGAAAAAAGTTTGCATTTGGCTATCTTTAAAGTGGAAATAAATAGTATAACATCTTCCATAAGTCACCAACTTGTCACCATGGTTTATTTTGGTTTCTATATTATTTCTTGTTTATAAGCCGGGAATAGTTACCTACATTTTGAATAGTTTATTATTTTATCTATTGTCAGAAAAAATGAAATATATGAGGAATAATAATAATTTCTTCACATTTTCTTGAGCGTCAGACCATTTGAGTTTAGTTCAGATGCCGCAGTGCCACTGCGTCTGCAGTGGAACCGCCCGGGGGCTCTAGGTTCGAGTTCCGTCGGTGGCCTATTTTCGGCTAACTAAACGCAAGGTCGAATTTAGCCGCTAGCGGCCACTGTTATGATCGGTAATTTTCCGTGGTTTCTCCGATCAATATCAGGCGAATGGCGTAACCGCTGTGCAAATGGGCCGCGGATAGCGCGCGATATTTACTTCCTCTTCCTTGTCCTATCCTCTCCCCTTATTTACGCGCACTCAAACTTCCATGCGTTACCCTATCAAACATCGAGACCAATCGGAAGCTTAGAGCTTTTCCTGGGGGGGGGGTCGGCTGGAGGAGATACCTTGAGAGGGAAATCTTACAAACCTACGTGTAAGATGGTGCCGGATCTCATCATCCAGCGGGGAAAGAACACCGCTACCTCCCGCAATAAAACATTCACTATACTAACGGCACTGATGACCATAGCAGTTGACGTGCCGGAAACATCAAATCAACCATGAGCTCCAGACTATCGATCTCACTCGTTTACTAGTTGGCGCACAAAACCATTAGGACTCGGTGAATTTTGCTGAATTATGTCTGCAGCGACTCTGAATAAAGAATATTATAAGAAGTAAACAAATTAAATTAAATACTTACACCATTTGTTTCACATAGGTATAACGTATACTGTACAAAAGTTTCGTTGATGTCACAAGAGACAACATATGTTTACATTTGAATTTCCAGACGCTGAAAAATTACCTCACAAAACTATTCGGATACATATGAGTATATTGTACCTGCGCGCATGCATTACATTCGTAACGGAAATAAAAAATAATGTGTACAGTTCAAAGAGTGCAAACCACAGAGAGAAATAAAAAACGACTCCGCAAAAAGAGTTCAATATCTTAGGGACATTCCTTTCCTTCAGCTATAGCACTTCTTTCACTCTATTTGGCACATTTTGAACAAGTTTTTGGTTGTAGAAGCAAGGGTGACTTCCGGCTAGGCAAACCATTTACTAAAATAGCCCTTCACTGTCTTTCTAAGATATTGCCATAATATTTCATTATGAAGTGTTTGTTTGTCGGTTTGTTTATATGTTTGTTCGTTCGTTCGTTTCTTTCTTTATTTATTTAATGTCAAAATAAGTTAAAAACTGTAAGTGACATAGCAACACCACCTAGTCATGTCGAGGTAGTGTTGGACTTAGTATGGAAGGAAGTATATTCTGTCCATGTTTTATTCAGTCCTGGGAAGCTGAATTATGAATAAAGGTGGAAACGTGCATTTTGGCAAGAATTGAAGATAAAATGTTCGCTCCCATGTAAAAAAAAGATTTGCAAAGGAATATCAGCCAAAACTTTTGGTGAAGTAATCCTCTTACTGCCGAGAGATTAGGGAGAACGATTATTTAAATACCTACGCATTCCCCGCTGAACACTAGGAAACATTCAAGACAGATACCAAAGCTACATTTACACATAAATAAATCAAAGGCCATCTCATTCGCCCTATGGATCAGGGAATCTGTTGCAAAAGTCTGATCGAGATGGCGGTAATTGACGCAGAAGATGAGGTACAATACTTCTTAGATGCATCTCTTAGAGTACAAATGGTAATACATTAAATATCGTTAAAATCGAGTCACACGACGAACCGGAATGAATTTGTCAGTGTAGATATATATCGCACAACACTTAACCTTTTTTTCACGTATATTTTCTTTCAGTGAAATAATATAGGCACTGCAAAGAACCTATCGTAATTCAAAAAATCTAACTTGCTCCTACCCCAGTCGCAGCGATGCACTCAAGGCAAGGGCGGATCCAGCCGATCATTTGGGGGGGGGGGGGCTGCGCATCGAAATTTTGGTTAAATAATAAACATTTTTTAATTATATTGTATATTAGTTATGTACTGCAGATATGATACTATAACAATATTATTGTTCAAATAATCACATAATTCGAATATACATAAATATTTAAATCAATTTTGCCAAATAAAAATAGGTAAACGAAATTTCTAGGCCTTTTGGCCCCCATGTCCCCCCCCCCTGGATCCGCCAGAGCCTCAAGGATCTACTCACGTTTCCACTACAATGGCTGCGGCTCCACCTTGGGATTGTTCCTTGAGAGCGGCGCTCCCAGTGGGACTAGTCCAGGGGTGTCCAAGGCCTCAAAAAAGTCACAACGAAAACCTTTAATATGGTAGCGGGTCAAATTTTCATAGCCCGGGCGATACACACTTGACCCCGCCTTGATCACGGGAGTTTGCCTGGCTGCTCAGAAACGGGGGAGGGGGGGGGATAGAATCATACGTGATATCAGGTCGTACCAGGCATAACGCAGTGAAACACAATGGGATGATTTTGAATTTCTGAATTTACTAGAAAAAATCCTTAATCTAAACTTCATCTATTTTTACGTTAAGGGAATGATAACCCCGGCAGGGCATGTGCGATACGCCCACAGTGTTCTCGCCCAATATGGATGCAAGGGACTTCCACGTTTTTTGACTAACTAACGCTAACGGCAGTACGCTCTGAAGAAGGCCACAATACGCTGGCCAAAACGTTAGCCACCATGACATCAACGCGGCTCGTCCCGGATAGCCCAGCCAACATAACCTTTCGCGGGTCACAATAAATGAAACCGCGGGCCACCAGATGGACAATCCTAGTCCATAACCACCGACTTTGGTCACACCTGACATCGCCATAGGTGGACAGCGGGTAGTGGATCTTTTTCAAATTTGTTGAGGATTGATCGGAATTCTCACAATTAGTAAAATGCATATTAATGAACAAAATATTTCTCGGACATTAGGAAGCCTCTCACTTGAGTTTCTCGTCCGTCTGCAGGTGATTCTCGCGCATCTATTCCTGCAAAGAGACATCGTGAACTGTGTCTAGGTAGCTGGGTTTCTCGAACCCCAGCTTTCAGGAGCTGACTCGAAGCATGGGTTTCTGCCTTCCTCTTTCAAAGCTGACTTATGGTTAAAGAAGATTCTGTTCTGTTGAAGAGAACATTCTTTTGAAATATTTTTATATTACATTAAATGCACTAATATATCTCTTGGATAGATAATGCCTACCCGTTTCTCCGAGGAGCGCTAACCCACTGACTAGGCAATAGAGGAAGTCACTTGGCGCAGGTCCCCAACACGCGAAATCCAAGGCATGTGTGTCACACGAGCGTCGCGTTGACGTGCGATAAGTACCGCGCGTCGTAGATTAATATCTGTATCTTATCTTATGCGAAACGGCTAAAGCGCTCGTGTGCCGTTTTTCATAAGATACAGTGTTATTCTACGACGCGCGTTACTTTTGGTGCGTCAACGCAAAGTTCTTGTGCAGGAGCGCAAAGCCTCACAAAAAAAGCTGTGCTTATCCAGAGTGATTTAGTAACGCACGAGTTCAATGCGATCTGGAACAGAGCACGGAAGGAGTGAGTTGGGTCGATTATGAAAACAACGATTAGAATTGTGTACGTAACAAACCCCTGGAATGTCTGCATCGAAGGAAAAATCCGGTGTAACTGCCTGCCCGCTGTTTGAAAATAAAAAGGCCCAGCAATTTTAGTTAGTAGCCCTTCCTCTCCCGGCCCTGTTCCGGGACAGCAGTGGCCGCGGGGCCTGCCAGGGGCATTCCAACGCGCGGGCGCGTGAGCGGGCGCGGGCCCGGGCGATGGCGGCCGCGGCAGGAGAGGTGGAGGACGGGCGGGGCGGCTGCCAAGCGACGCGAGGCGACGCTCAGCGCAAGTCGATGAGGCGCTTCTACAGTGTGGGAGCGAAAGCGCCTCCGCCTCCACTTGGATGGACACCGCCTCGCCAGCAAATTGGCGCCCAACGACGACCAAAGAAGAGCGGCCTTCACGCCTCATCGCTAACGAATGATATGAAATTACTATTGTTTCCGTATGGAATTATCGTGTTAATATATTAAAGCCCATTGTTTTCAAAACTGGTTATGACGTACCTATTTATTTATCGGACGTTAGAAAACAGTTAAAAACTGAATGCGACGTACTACAGAGAGAAGAGCATTCTGGAAACGTTTTCTTGAGTTCTGGAATCCCTTCCGTAATCCATATATCTTGAATTTTGAATATAGGGCGTTTTGGTAAGAATTGATAAGAAAATATTCGTTCCCGTATAATTGCAAAGGCAAATCACCAACAGATTTTGTCTCTATTCCTTATAGTACCCTACGTGAAGGAATTGACTTACTAGTGCGAGAACAAGGGGAACGATTATTTTAATAACTAGGAGAATGTATTTGCTCAAGAAAACGTGGAAGGTAGTGAAGCTACGAAGAGGAACTTACATGGTCACACTCTTTGCATGGCATTCTGGACGGGTAAACAAGTTCCCCGAGGTATAATTTCAGCGGTGCTCTTGAAATGGAATGATTTGAGACGTTCGAGAGGCGAGGCCG